CGTCGTCCTCGGCCTCCTACACCACCTTCTACTGATATTGATGGAGAGACAGATCCACAAAATATGGGAACCTTTGAATCATCCTCTTCGCCGGTTAGTCCACCAGCTCCGGTTCTATGTGATGATGATCTGCCCATTGCTCAGCGGAAAGGTAAACGGTCAACTGCAAACCCCAAATATGCCATCCATAATTATGTTCACTATGACCGTTTATCCTTAGCTTTCGTAGCATGTGTTTCCAGTCTTGCGTCAGTACATATTCCAAAGACAGTACACGAGGCTTTACTTTATTTAGGGTGGCGCCAAGCAATGATTGATGAAATGTCCGTCTTACACAATAATGGGACATGGGAGTTGGTTTCGTTACCTCCTGGAAAATCACTTGTTGGTTGTCGTTGGATATCCACTCCTAAGGTAGGTCCAGATGGTAAACTCAATCGTCTTAAAGCTCGGTTGGTAGCTAAAGGATACACTCAAATATTTGGTATGGATTATAATGATACTTTGTCTCTGGTTGCCAAAATGACTAGCATTCGTATTCTTCTATCCATGGTTGCAATGTGTGATTGGCCTCTATACCAACTGGACATTAAAAATGCTTTTCTCCATGGGGTTCTACAAGAAGTTTACATGGAGCAACCTCCTAGGTTTGTTGCTTTGTTGCTCAGGGGGAGTCCGGTTTAGTCTGCAGATTATGAAAATCTCTCTGGCTTAAAACAATCTCCAAGAGCCTGGTTCGGGAGATTCAGTTTTGTGGTAAAAGAATTCAAGATGAGGCAAAGTAGGGCAGATCATTCGGTTTTTTATCGTATTTCAAGGACACAATGTATCTACTTGATAGTATATGTTGATGACATAGTTATCACAGGGAATGATCACAAGGGAATACATGAGTTAAAAGATCACTTGTTCAAGCATTTTCAGACCAAAGATATGGGCAATCTCAGATACTTCTTAGGTATAGAGGTTGCAAAGTCTAAGAATGGGATTTTAATATCCCAAAGAAAGTATGCTCTAGATATTCTAGGGGAAGCTCATCTATCCGACTGCAAACCAGTTGAATCTCCAATGGATCCTAATGTCAAACTCCTACCAGGTTAGGGGGAGTTGTTGGCAGATCAAGGGAAATATAACTATCTCACAGTAACTCGTCCGGACATTTCCTTTGCTGTAAGTGTAGTTAGTCAGTTTCTAAATGCTCCATGTGACACTCATTGGGAAGCTGCTCTACGGATCCTAAAATATATCAAAGGAGCTCCAGGGAAAGGTCTTTTGTATGAGAACAAAGGGAGCATAGAGGTATCTTGCTACACTAATTCTGATTATGATGGTTGTCCTTTCAGTCGAAGATCAACATCTGGATATTGTGTTCTCTTTGGGGGGAATTTAGTATCCTAGAAAAGTAAGAAACAAAATGTGGTAGTAAGGTCTAGTACACAAGCAGAGTATCGAGCTATGGCAAATGCAACATGTTAACTTATATGGGTCAAACAACTTCTCGAGGAACTAAGATTTTGCCAGGTTTCTCAAATGAAGCTTATATGTGACAACCAAACAGCTCTTCATATTGCTTCCAACCCAGTGTTCCATGAGAGGACGAAACATAATGAAATCGACTGTCATTTTGTTAGAGAAAAACTGCTTGATGGTCTAATCGTGACAGAGTTCTTTAATTCGAGTGACCAACTTGCAGATGGGTTTACAAAGCCCCTGAGAGGACCCCGAGTTGACTATATATATAACAAGCTTGGTGCCTATGATATATATGCTCCAACTTGAGGGGGAGTGTTAGAATTGTATAGTTTAGGGATTGAAATGTAAATGTATAGTTTCCTTATACATACAATGTATATATTTAGATTGTAGATCCTCCTTCTGTACGTGAAGGAGAAATCTCTCTCTCTCTCTGCATACTCTGATTTCACATATATATATATATATATATATATATATATATATATATATATATATATATATATATATATATATATAGGTTCATGCGAAAATGCGAAAACATATTTTATCTTCTAAAAATCAAACACATGTACTTTAGAAATTAAATTTATTAGCGATAAATTAAAGATAAAAAGTTTACATTGGAGGGTGTTATGGTAATATAGATTTAAAGGTGGTTTTAACATGTATTCTGCACACTTATATGTGAATGAAATAGTGTCAAGCCATGAAGTACCTCTAGTAAGTGTATCCCACATGGAGATACTCGATTCATACCGACATTCTAACGGAGTATTAAGAGAAAATTAGGTGCATGTGCCAATTTGATCATCCTTAGACAAATGGTTAAAGTGAATATTTTTTTAACATCTTCAAACATGTGTGATAGACTTTGGTGGTAACCAACCCCAATCATTTTCCTTTAGTTGAGAATTTCATAAAACAACAGTTATCACTCAAGTATTCCATCAACAAATATGAGGCTTTGCATGGTAGGACCAATTTTCTATGCAGAAGTTGGAGAAAAGCAATTGACATAACCAAAAATAATACAACATAAGGTGATACGTCTCCAATAATTATCCCTTTATTATTATTTCAAATTAGTAGTTATCTTTATTTAAAATTAAGATATTTGTTAGTATCTTTTAATTTAGGGTAGGATTATCTATTAACACTTATATATAGGGTTTTGATATGACTTTTTCATGATTATGGAATAAAAATTATAGAGTTTTACTTTGTTTTGGGAGAATCCCAATGTCTCAAATAACAGGTCTTATCATAAGGTTAAGGACCCCAAAGTGATGCAAGTAAAAGGACAAACAGTGTAGATAGAGAAATTACAAGAAAAACCATTAGAATTTCATGTTGAAGATAGAGTTAAGGTGGAATTATCACATGGAAAGGGGAAGAGTGATACGATTTGGTGTAGGAAAGCTAAGTCAAATATACAAATAGTTAGCATAGTTAGAGAAGGGTCCTAAAGCAACTTAGGAGTGTCAAGCTGAAATGAAAACATAGTAATAGTATCCCCACCTATTTAGTTGAATGTAAATTCCAAAGGCTGAATTTTGGTAAGGGAAGAGGGATTCGTAACAGCCCTATAACGAAACACGGTCAGATTTAAAAGAATAAAATAATTGAAGATTTTATTCGCGTGCCGGTGTTCTTAAATTTTCCCTAGATCTGCAATAGACGGTGCTACTTTGTTTAGTTTAGTGATTGATATCTTAGAGAAGATGGCAAGATAAAGACAGACTCTTTTGAAAGTAACGGTGGCTAGGAATGGTGTCATCGGTTCACCCTATGGTAGACTTGCTCGAATCGAAGACCCATGGATACGTGGCCAAATGGGGTTGCGTTGTAAGTTGTAACGTCTAACCAACAAAACAAGCATCCAAAACCGTTCCTTAGTTTCGACCCAACGCATATAATTTCAAAGAAACAATCGAGTGGAAACAGGACATGGTTGATGGTGGCTCGGACCTAGAGAGTTTTGAGAATTGATTTTATGTAGACCGGTAAACCATTTCTTGTGAATCTTATGTAGTTCCAATCAAATGATATGTATACTGCAAAGTAAATCCAAGGAAAAATGGTTTGATTTTCGGTTAGTTTTGTCTGTTGTCACGAATCCAAACCGAAACCCTCAATGTGAATATAAAGCTCAAAACTTGATAAAATCCAATGATTCTTGTACTGAAATGGATCCTAAAATTCGAATACGAACCCTAACAAATGTTTTAAGAAAAAGGAACTGAAAGACAACGTAGTAGAAGTTAAATAATGTAATAAGATCATGGCAATCAAGGTGGTAGAAGGGATGATGTTGTGAATGTCATTTATGCATACACACATGTCGGGTTGGAAGAGTAAAAAACATGAGCTTTTGGGATCGTTAGATAATATGGTATAGCTTCTCTATGCAAACCTAGAGAATGTGGGAAATGGAGTGGGAGTCTTCTTACTGACACAGACACAGCTGTAAGACAACACAATAGAAGTTAAAAAATGTAATAAGATCATGGCAATCAAGGTGGTAGTATGGAAAGATGTTGTTTATGCATACACACATGTCAAGTTGGGAGAATCGAAAAAGAAGAGCTTTTGAGATCGTTACATGATATGGTAATGCTTGTGGTATGCAAGCCTAGAGAATGTGAGAAATGGTGTGGTTGTCTTCATACCAACGCAGCTCAAAGACGATTTAGTAGAAGTTAAAAAGGATGTAGTAATATAGTATTTACCACTAAAGAATGAGATCTCTTACTTATGTATTGATGGAAAAAAAAAATGCTACGCAAAGGAATGCGATAAATGTATTGGCTATTGAATTGCTTTATGGAAATAAGCATATATGATTTTATAAGCATGTTCAAATGAGATTGTTATATCTTTTTTCCTTTTTAAACACAATGCACATTATTCACATGTTTTATTTCTATAGAAAAAAAAAATTGTGGGTCTCTAAGTATGGGTAGCAAGTATGCACCAAACCAAGCTTTCAAATCAACCACGTTATGACAATTGTGACCATTACGTAGCATATCTCATGATCACATGTGCTTTGTGGTAACCTTTAATAAGTCTTCTGCTGCTACTTTATAATTTATAAGTATTAACAATGATTTGTAGTGGTGGTGGTGGCTGTTAAAATAATTATATATTAAAGAAATAACAGAACAGCAGTACCTCTATAAGATCCTGCCGCCTGATGGCAAGGTACTTTGCCTTCCCACATTTGGAAAAATGACTCAAGATCACAGATGCTTCTTTTGGCCCTTCACAAATCACCTGGAATTTTGCCATTGTGATGATGCACGAAGAAGTCCAGTGACAGTCACATAAAAGTTTGACAACTTCAATACATTTCTCCTATATTTCGATAAAGAAGTTGGGTAATTTTTTCTTTACAAATAAAGATGATAAGAGTTCATCAAAAAACATGTTACACCAGTCTTCGGATACTTATGATTTACCTCTAAGAGCGAAGAAACGATGAACTCGTCTTCTGAAGGAATTGCTGATTTAGATAAAGGGAGCAAATGTCTTACTTTATGGAATAACTGGGTGAGTTGGCCGCCTTTTGGATCGATAAGATCGTTGCTACATGAAAGGTCGCCGGCATTATACATTTCGAGCTGGGTGGGTGAGGATCGATGCAAAACTTTGGTAAGGATGAATTGAATACTAAGCTACAACAGACGCGGAAAATAGTAAATACCAAGGCCAGTAGAAAGAAGCTAACCAATACATCGTCGATGCATAAAGGGCTCAAGCCTCCCTGGTTAAACCAGACATTTTTAACCTGCAAAAAAAAAAAATAATACATCGATTAATCAGGGTTTCCCCAAAAACCCTAGGTTAAAAATGAGAAACAGGAATCGCACCACTGACCACTGAAGGACGAATGATGAAGATGCGAAGCCGTCGAGCAATTTTGATTACCAAATCCCTCCAGAAGTGGTACCTTGGCTCCCAATCAGACCTCTGACCGCTGAAAGCCTTGAATCTCGCACTGATCATCACCTCCGAATCCCAATCCTGCACTTCCTTTCGTATCACTTCCCTTACCAGTTCCATTCTTCTTTCACCACTACAACTTCGCGTCCTATTACAACTTTCCATTCTACTGCCACTATTCGCGTCCTATCAGAACATTTTAGAGACCAATGTTTGTTCAATGCAAATTTCAAGTAAAATCTTAATGTTTTTGGGTGAGATTACGTTTTAAATTTTAATTATCATTTTTTTAATAGCTATTTTATATTTGGGTAAATTACACCATTCGTCCCTCGTGCACATGCCAGAAAGCGTGTTTAATCCCTATTTTCAAAAATTAACTCGGACCGTCCCTCATTTGGTTAATAGTTGCATGCTACATCCCTCATTAGTTTTAATTTGCGAGCTACGTCCCTTGCGAGACCTAAAATGACAATTATGCCCTTTTATATTTCTTTTCCATTTTACTTGATGTTATAATTATTATTTTTTAATTTAAAAATAAAAGAAAAAACAATAGGGCCCCATTTCATGCCCCCACCCCCAACAAATCATCGGATACCTGTATCTCTCAAACACCATACATCCATCGCCAACTTCCCAATTCAAACCTTCTTCGCCAAACATATACCTTATAACACCTTAAAACTCACCACCAGCTTCCTACCTCCTCCTTTTTCGGGTTACATCACCATCGGAACCCTTTCTGCACCCCTGTTCATCATCACAAACCGTAACCAACACCCAATTTAAACCATACCTTCAAAATTGGAAAACCCACCATAGTCGGAACCACCTTCGTACAACCTGCACCATTCGAACAAGGTATGATAAGAATGAAAATTCTGATTTGCACCAATTGTGTTTAGATTTTTTTGGTTCGATCAGAACCCGCTTCTCCGATCTAAATCTCCATCATCTTCGATTTATAAGTTTAGGGTTTAGTTTGGTTTCATTTGCAGGTTCAGGTTTCATTTTTTGAGGTTTGAGTAATGACCGGTGGTGATTGCAGGAGGTGCTAGCAGTCTATGAGACAAAGTGAGAGAGCTGACCAATTAAATTCAAAGAAGTAGAAAGGAAATTAGGGAAAGGATCAATCGCAACTTACTTCTCTCTTTTCGATCTTCTAATTTGCTGCAAATTGAGAACAATTAAAACGAGAGGCGACTTAGGGTTAAGTGGAGATATGAGATGGTGGTCGTGATTGTGGTGTTGTTGATGATTCCACCGGCGATGGTGGTGCTGTTGATGATTCCATGTACAGTTCCTTCTTGAGTTCTAGGGTTTGATAGAGGCGATTGGAGGAGGCTGAAGATTGACTGGTCCGATTTTGGTTTATCACGTTTGGGTGAAGGTGAAGGTGGGGCTGATGGGGCTTTGTCGGCGTTGGGAGTGGCCGAGAATGGGGGACAAACGTAGAGGAATACGTAGGAGGGGGAAGTGGGGAGGGTGGGTTCATGTATGTTTATTTATTGTTTTTTTTAATCTAAAAATAATAAACAAATAAGAAGAAAATTAAAAAAGAAATAAATAAGGGCAAAATGGTCTTTTTATGTCCAGAGGGATGAAACGTGCACGTTTTAAACGAACGAGGGACGGTCCGAGTTAATTTTTGAAAATAGGGACTGAACATGCTTTCTGGCATGTGCACGAGGGACGAATGGTGTAATTTACCCTTTATATTTTGTAGTAATTAACAAAATAGTCATTATAAAATAAATAGTAAATTACTGATATCGTCCCTATGGTTTGGTCAAAATTATACATTTGGTCCCTAACTTTTTTTTGTACTCAGATCGTCCTTGTGGTTTGATATTGTTGCGTTTTTCGTCCCTATGGTTTTGTAAAAATTACTTGTTTGGTCCCTAACTTTATGTATGTAAGGGACGAAGAATGCAACAAAATCAAACCACATGGACGAAGAATGCAACAAAATCAAACCATATTGACGAAAAACGCAACAAAATCAAACCACATGGACGATCCGAGTGCAAAAAAAAAAGTTAGGGACCAAACGTATAATTTTGACCAAACCATAGGGACGATTTCAGTAATTTACTCTAAAATAAATTTACATATCATGACTTTTCTATTAAAAAATAAATATTATGATTAAACCATAAACTAAATTAAAATATTTTGAGAATTTTTTTTAATAAAGTTCTATTACTTTAGGAAAATCCAATAATTAGTCATTTATATACATACTTATTTAAAGTCCTTGGTGAACAAGATTTGCATGTGATTGGCTAAATTTTTTTTTTTCCTATTTTCTTTGTTGGGTTTATGATATCTTTAGGAAAAGTCATGTTGGTTGAATTTGTTTATTTCTTTACTTTAAAATTTATCACCTACGTGTTATGTTCCTAGTTGCTCACAGTTTTATTCTTACATGTTTCTTTCACTTCTTGGGTATTGGGGTCACCGCATCCTCTTCCAATCGCCTTTTAACACGAAAAACTTTCCCCACCGTCTCATCTGTGTCTTTTTAATTTTCTCTATACCCATTATCCATTGCCTTATTCTTCCATCGACTTCACCTTTGTTACCCTTATTCCTCCATTGACTTGGCTTCCATGTTTCCTCCCGGTAAAAGCCCTAAATTCAACCAACCATCACCGCGTCGGAGTCAACTTCAGAGACCGGTCAGATATTGTATATCTCCGGGGAGCTTCACTAAAGAAAACACGAGGAAGCTCCGGATGTACACATGGAACGGAGTCGATTCACGATGTGAAAGCTCCGGATATAGACAATGGAAACGGAGTCGTTTCATGATGTGATGTATGGTTCATCTGACTACAAAGGGCATTTGTAACGCCCCACCTCTGGTATGTTGTTCCCGTGGCATTTATTTAGAAGTTTTATAGAGGGACTCGACGAGTCTATGGCCTGACTCGTCGAGTAAGGTCGAGATTTCGAGAACGTGTTAGTCGGTGACTCGGCGAGTATGCCTGCCAGGATAAAACCCTAAATCCCTGGGTTGCTCGCTATTTAAGCAATGTTATGTGCCCTAAACTCACCTCCTTCACCCTCAGAGAGCTATGAGAAACCCTAATCCATTCCTTGATTGATTTAAGTGTTTTTGTGTGGATTCTTGAAGGCTTGAAGAAGAAGAAGGAGAAAGGAACAAGGAGAAGTGGTGTGTAGCAAAGATCCAAGGTCAAAATCAGAGTTCATTGAGCCGGGGAGATACCGGAGCAGCAGCAGTTAGTTTCCAGAGTCGTGCACACAGCAGCCAGTTCACGAGGTGAGTTTCCTTCCAGTAGGAACGGGTCTAAGGCCACAATGTCGGCCCATTCAGTCAGCCATAGTTTTTGGACTTTGGTCCAATGCAGTAGTTAGTATGTTTGACGCCTCTGTGGCTCAGACAGGATGTGTGTGCTTATGCTAGTTGATATGTTATGATATGCTATGTTCAGTCAGTCAGCTTCGTACTTTGGTTCGATGTAGGGAACAAGGTCCCAAACAGTCAGCTTCGGACTCGGTCCGATGTAGGGGACAAGGTCCCAGTCAGTCAGCTTCGGACTTCGGTTCGATGTAGGGGACAAGGTCCCGGCCAGTCAGCTTCAGACTTTGGTCCGATGTAGGGGACAAGGTCCCAGTCAGTTAGCTTCGGACTTCGGTTCGATGGAGGGGGCAAGGCCCCAGTATATGCTTTATATGTTTATATGGTATGTGGTAGTTTGGGGGAGCTCACTAAGCTTCGTGCTTACAGTTTCAGTTTTGGTTTCAGGTACTTCCGCAAGCAAAGGGAAGAGCTCGGGATGATGGCATCGCACACACCACAGCTTTAGCTTTATCCTGGGAGTTGATTCAGTTTCTTGATATGTTTGGATACAGTTGTGATACAGTTATTCTCACAGTATTTTATTATGGTTTTTATTATGTGATACTCAGTTTCGTGGTTTTTTATATAATAAAAGTCGAAATTTTTGGGTAGTATTTTTGGGTCGTTTCAGCATTCTTCTGTAACGCCTTCCTATACTTCTTCAACACCTAATGCATCCCTAAAGATTAGGAACCAAACGATTCGACTCAGCCATTGATGCGACTTCAAGACAAAGATGAAACATCGAGAAAATTGGTAAGACCAATCAGAACAACAGCCCCAATCATCTATTTTCTGCCACCACGAAACACCAGTGAGTCGATTTTCTCTTTTGTGGTCGCCTTTTACATCTCCAGACGAATAACATGCCACATAAAGCTTTTTTCTCTATGAGGTGCAACATTCAACTTCACCCTCTATTGATTTCTTTTTTTCGATAACAACCAATTGATTTGAGGTTAGATAGGGTTTTTTTTGTAACAATGAATTATGGAGTAGAGAATGGTTAAATTGGACACTGAAACCAAAAAAATTACAGGTCAGGTGAAAGAAAGTATGTTGATGTCCGCTGGATTAAGCCTTTTCAACATTGTATTTATCCATGGTTTCTTGACAAAGGTATGTAATGCTATTTCAATGTTTTAATAGAATTTCTCATGTTTGAAAGAATATATGTCTCTGTAACTGGATTCTATGTCTATGTAACTGGATTCTAAATGTTAAATCCGACAACTGATTTCTTTTGATTTATAAAATTATTGCTTTTACACATCTTTTTTTTCTGTTTCATCTCAACTTCAATTTCTGAATCATGAATCAGAAGTGACAGAAAGTGATTAATTTACCGATATTACGTTTCACTGTTTACCGATTGGAGTAGATGTAACTCAAGCCTCAAGCCTAAATGGTAAATCGAAGTATTCAATAAATTAGGGTTTGATTTCGTGGGTATGTTTTATATTTTGAAGGCTTCTTTGTACAATTTACTGTCTTTTACAAAGTTCTATTGCAGTCTGAACATTATAGCTTCACTTACCATTGATTTTACAGCAGTAATAAGAGTTTTTTTTTAGACTGTTAAGCATTTCCTTGATGAACATTGTGATGAAACAGTGACATATCAATGCTTAATTCATTACATGTAAAGCTCCAACACATTTTTTTTCGTTCACTGATCATTTTGACAGAAATGATACATAGCTTGGACTTAAAAAATTGCCACATGTATCTTTCAAATGGTTGGGATATCTTTATCAGGAATGACAATAGATCCTAAATCCGTGAGTTACTACTTTCGTAGAAAAGTTCATTGATGTTTTC